ATATTATGCTAGCTATGACAACTACTATCTCCAAGTTACACCCACCTAGCCCTGGTAGCTCCACAGCTAGTGGGCCTCTACCAGATGGCCAACCTGTGAAACTGAAGAAGGAAGACGAACAAGAATTGCCGGAGGAGAAGGCGAAGGTGGATGTGCAGGATGAGCGCAAAGCTGAGGTCGCTTCAAGTCACCCACACCAACAGCAGCAAGCCTCGGTCATTCAGCAGCGCTCCAATATGTACATGCAGCCACTCTACTACAACCAATACTATGTCCCCCCATATGGATACCCGGACCAGGTTTATCACAACCACCTCATGAACACTAATCCAACCTACAGGCAGCAGTATGAGGAGAGGCAGAGACTTATGGCAGAGCAGCACAGGTCTGCTGAGAAAAAGCCTGATTTCGGTGTAAAGGACAGGGAAACCTCACTGAAGGAGGACTGGAAACAGAAGGGCCCTGTTCCACCAGGCCTAACAAAAGCCCCCAGCCTTTCAGACCTGGGAAAGCCACAGGCCACTGGCAAGCAGAGAGACACTTCCTCCGAACCTGTCAAGTCAGTGATCATCCCTAAAGGGGAGGAGGTCAAGCTACAGCCACAGCAGGCTGAGGGGCTTAAAATGAAGCTTAGTGAAGCTGGCCATCATGGAAAGGATGACTCAAAGGCAAGTGTAGAGTCTGCCAGGCTGGGTATGGAGCAAGCCATGTGGTACAGACAGGTGAGGCAAACATGTGATTCTTGAACTGAACAACAGCACCGTTTGCAAGCTAGAGGGATAATTTACCAAAAAATGAAACCCTTCATGTTATATAGAGCCGCGTTTCCACCGCAATTACCAGGATCTATTTGTCCCAGGAACTTTTTTGTCCCCCAGCCCGCTTGCTTACTGCGTTTACACCGCGTACTAAAGTACCGTTCCGGGGCGGGAAGATTATGTAGTGGCGTTGAACTGCGTGCGACTGATCTTCCTAGCCTTGTTTTGAGTTTTGTATGGAGGAGATTTAAGCTTTGCTGCTTTTGTGTGCGACTGGTTTACTAACGAGGTAATTAACAAAACAGCAGAAAAGAGACGAGCACCCAAAGCGTATTCAGAAAGCTCGTAATGCTAGATATAAAAGTAGACGTTTGTTATCAGCGGACATTGACCGTGAGATGGATGGGATGAACGCGCGCCATCGGGCAGAAAGAATAGTGTGGTGAGAACCAATCAGCATATTCAGCACACAAGTCCCACCCCGAAAGTTCCTGAACTCTGAAAAAGTACCACCTTGCCAGCAGGGACTTTCTGGGGGGGAAATTTTTACCCGGAACTTCATTTAGACCCTGGTTCCTGCCCCAAAAGTACCACCCCAAAGTACCTAGTTCCCGGGGAAAGTTCCTGCGGTGGAAATGCGGCTTAGGTTATATATATTTCAGACAGGGGAGTCACCAATTAAAGTTTTCTAATGCAAAACGCAAGATCTGGCCTTTTGAGTATTATTGTGAGAATTTAAATCAAAATAATAAAATCACAGATCTCATTTGGGTGAACTCATTTCATTACCTTTCAAAAACCCTAACTGTAACTTCTTTCTGTTTCCAGTACTCTGACAGTCAGAGACCGCCAGATGAGGAGCGAGACAGGGAGCGAGACAGAAAAGGCAAAGAGGAGAGGCCCAGGCCGAAAGACAGCAGCTCCAAAGAAGATGGTAAAGATGGAACTGATGGTTCATGTCCTCCCAACACTGAGGACCATCGAAGCGGAGGGAAAGATCCCCGGCCCAATGCCCACATACCTTTCAGCTCCCCCTTGACACAGCACCAACCCTACCTGCATTACATGCATGGATATCCTTTTGGACAAAGCTACGATCCCAACCATCCTGGATACAGAGGAATGTCCTCCGTCATGATGCAGAACTACCCAGGTAAGATGAATAATAACATCTGAGTTTAACGATTGATTTGTGTGGGTTGGCCAACATCATACTCTATGCAAGTACAGAATGGTGCAATGGATTGCTTGGAAGACACATTTTCAGTGTGCAGTCTTCTTGCGTTGCATTTATTATGTCCTTAATAAACCTCAGTACTCAAGGTGGCCACTGAATTGCTTTCAAATACCACTGCTTTTAAACCAGATGCGTTATCATTTAGGTAGCTAGCTTTAGACATGACAAGACTTTACTTGGTTCAGCAAGAATCTCCCCCTCTATAGTGCTCCTTGTGACAATGTTGAGAATGCAACACATACTTGCGCTGCTTTATAAATTGGTTTTGACATTTTATAGCACAATGGCACGTGAAATCAACTTTGGCATGGTGGGAAATTGGCATTCATATACTTGCATAAAGTATGTTTTGGGTCTTTATGTGTGTTAAAAGTGCGTAAAGGCACTCCCATGATGTAGAAACTCAGTATGGTTTCCTAATCTTTAGGGTCGTATCTGCCAGCGGGATACCCTTTCTCTCCTTACGGCAGTAAAATGGGAGGTGGAGAGGAAGCAGAGAAATCTCGCTCCAGCCCCACAGTCAGCAACAAGTCCGCTTCAGAGTCCAAAGCCTTGGACATACTACACCAACATGCCAACCAGTACAAGAGCAAATCGCCTACCGTTGCCGACAAGCCCTCCCATGAAAGGGAGCGAGGGGCAAGCGACCGAGAGCGGGAAAGAGAGAGGGATCGAGAGAGGGAGAGAGAAATGGATCGGCCTCGATCATCTCCCTCCCAACGCCTAATGCCACCCCACCACCACCACCATCATCTAGGCTATCCCCTTGTAGCCGGGCAGTACGATCTATCTTACGCCACAGGTTAGCGGTACTTTATGAATATTCTGATTATTTTGAGATGGTTGTGGATGAATCTCACACAGTCTGTCCAGACTCCACAACATAATAAACTCCAAAATATGGCTGAAAATACATAGCCAGGGCGCTTCTTCCGAGGAGGCAGTGCCTCCTTAACAAATTGAATGAGAAATGAATCCATATTAGAAAACTAAAACAACGCAAATATTACAAAGATGTGGGTTTAGTGGGGGGGGGTAATAGATAATGAAAGGGAAAAAGTCACGTGAGAGGAGGGAATGCGTCCATCGCACTGTGATTGTGTATGATTGGTTCGTGCGATAAATCCCACCTCTTGTTTTCGTGCGCATTTACGAATCGGTCTGAATTATCAAAATTAAGGCGTTAATGGGAAGACTAATTAAAGTTAGTAAACAACTACCATTTAGATATCACCGCTTTTGTCACATCAAAATCAAACTTGAAATAGACTGCATTGTGACCCTATGTTTAAATATGACGTTGTTATAAATTATTTTCTGTACCACACTATTCAGAATTAGATTTTTTTAAAGATATGGGGGGAAGGGGATTTAATATGAACTAGGCATTTCTTACTGAGATTTCAAATGGCTCATCTGATGTGTTTAGGGGGGGAGAGGAGAATAAAATATTGCTGCTCATAAAACTGTGCCAATTCCACAAGGAAACTTGAGTGTAAACAACATCTTTACTGGATGTTCCTTAATTGCAGGCCTTTCATCGTCAGCAATTGTTGCCAGTCAGCAAGCCTCAGCCCCTTCCCTGTACCCACCAGCACGGAGGTGAGAATGGTAAGAGGAAACAAAGATCAAGGAAAGTCAGCAGAAGTGATGGATTGTGGTTAAACAGAGAGCAAATCGCATAAATCAGTCAGTTTTCACGTGTATCCCCATTTCTGCTTGTCATGCGCAATGTTTTTACTCTAAAGTTTCTGTTTCATGGCAGCATGATTGTTTAAGGACCCTAGATTGAGGCTAGTGTTTTTAGCACCGCAGTGTTTGTAGCATTGCTAACACTCCTGTACAGTTTCGCCAAATGAAGCCTATGCTGACCTCTAGTGGAAAGGCATGTAATAACATCAGGGAAATGTGAAGAGTGCATTGGATTAGGCATGTTTAACCTTAAAACCGTATTCTGGAAAAATGTGGGCAAAATAGTTTTGATTTACTTCAAAAAATAAAAATAAATAATACTTCCCTTGATCTGAGCTGTACAAGACTTGGCTACTTTTCCTAAGTTTGCCTCCTGAACAAACACACATTTTTTGACTCAATTCTATAATATTAAGTGGGTGGAAAAAAAAATACTCCTTGTATTTGGGTCAAAAATGGGCACCCATAGAAATGAATGGGAAAAACTGTAATTTAGAGCATTCTAAAATAAGCCAAAATAAGACAGCAAAGTCGCTTCATCTTTAGGTTTTAGCCTTAACTTATTGGAATGATATTTTAATGTAGTTTAAAAAATAAAACATAAAAATAAGCATAATTTACATAGAAAATATGGTACTTTTTAAAGTAAATAATTTCAAAAATAAAAAGAAACACCATAAATGAAAAGAAAACTGTGGAAAAATCTGTGACATTTTATTTTGAAGATCTCCTTTTAGACATTCTGTTGACTACATATAACCTTACCTACATGTCAACTAATTCATTAACGTATTAGTAGACAATCTGCTAAATATCTGCCCAACAGAAAATATGGTACTTTTTGAAGTAAATAAATTCAAAAATACCCTCAAAATAAACAAAAACACCATAAATGGATACACAAAACTTTATCGAAGACATTCATAATAAATAAAAATTAGAATCACACCTGAGACCTCGGTGCCCACATTTGTCCACAATTACAGGATTAAGGGCTATATAGTGTTTGAGGGCTACTAACAAATATAAATGATACTAAATGTACTTTTATAATTAGTTAATTTCAAAGCCAAATCATAGATTAAAACTATACTGTATTCTGACCAGTTGTTTCTTGTGTTTTCTTTCTTTAGGGAAACCTGATTGTCTCGCCCTTCTTTACAATTAATCATGTGACTGGATCACATGGGGAAGTATATGGAGTTCATTTAGACATCAGTTGAATGGTGTTTCTATATTTTTAGTTTTTCTGCCGGAATGTGTGGCAGATTGATGTTTTCCTAGTATCCGTACCTCGTACCCCGCTACAGACCAGGTTTAAAGCCATCCCGCCCTGCTCAAAGCCCAGCCGGCCACTGGACTCTTGCCTGTGAACTGGCGAGGAATGATTGAAAAGCAAGGACTGTCGTTGAACTCGCCCGACGCGGGCTGTGGCCGGGCTGAGGCGAGGACTCGAGGGGACGTAAGAACACAAAGACTGAAAATAGTTTTATCACACTGAGATAACTAAAGTTGTTTCCTTTTTTATTTTAGTTGGCATCCTCACTGAAAACAACAAAAAAAAATGTTTTTTTTGAATTGCTCTCTGCGGATAATATCTAGCATTGTCTCATAACTCTGTCTTTCTGCCTTTGGTTCCTAAACGGTTCTCACCGCCACATGCCTCAAGACTGCTCTTATTTTTTTTTTTTTTTTCCTTTTCCCATGCCTGGCTTCTCCATCATCCGCATGGTTCTGTGTAACAACCGCCAGTAAGTTATAGCACTCTGCTTAAACTGTGTAGGAGACAGTCATGCTGTTTTAGACAGTCATTCACGAAATATAATTTTAGCGAGCACAGTCTTTCAGAAGAACATCAGCGGTCCGTTTACTCCACTTGGTTATCCTTCAACTTGAATCCGAACATCCTCCTTGGCTACCTTACCTCATCGCTGACCGAATTTCCGATTTATCGCTGTGGTTCTTAAAATGGATGTTTGTTAATGTGACGAGGTATAGTAAGTTCTTCTAGAGAGACGCTATGGGGTGCGTGACACCAGAGGCCCAGTAGTTTCGTTCTTGCATGGGGCCGCTCTATCCCTGAACACTTATCGTGGAAGTGTCGTGATGATAACTCCAGCGTGTTTGATGAAACCAAGTGAGCGTTTGACCCGAACATGCTTTCATAGCCCATCATGCTCTGTGTTCTTTCATGTGTCGTCCAGCATGGTGTACTATAGCACTAGAAATGTGACTTTTTAACGGTGTCTCCTCAGGCAAAGCAAACTTTGGTTTCGCACCAAACGCTGACTCTCTTGGTTGCGCACACTATGTGATGTACAGAGGGACTGTTTTAAAATGCTATCAAGCGACCATCTGATTTCTTTGATGTTTTGAAATCTGTCTCTTGGGTGTGCTTTTCTTTTCCTGTCCGGTCTCTGCTCGGCTTTGTTTAGGCTTAGTCTTGGGAATCTCTCAATCTAAAATCTCGACCAGTCGTAGCTCATGGTGGATCTCAGGCCCAGTTTCCTGGTCAACGCTGATGTTTTCAAACGAGCAGATCGATTTTAACAGGCTCCGTGGGAACGAGACGACGGACATGCGTTCGGAGGATTACGTTGACTCGTTCCCTCTCTCCCATGTGTAAGGTTACAATTGAAAAAAGCAGTAAAGCACCATGGTACACTGAATACTAAGAGAAATGGGCTGTTACACATCCAAATATGACATTTGATATTAGGTAGGCTACATTTGGGATGTACAAATTCTTTCAAACCTGAACAATTGATTCAATTCCCTCATGGTTTTTGTCAGTACATGAAAATTGTCAAATGGTGCTCAGCTGACACGCTGTGATTTGTTGGAAAGAGGATGCAGTGCACTATTGCATGCTTTACGTCATTTTCACCTCTTTCCTGTTGCGCTTCGTCCCAAGTGTTTCCCAAAAGACAACTTATCACCAAGTATCAGGCCCCGGTACTTAAAGAATGTTTACATTTTGGTTTTTTTAATGGTTTTGTTTGGATTTTTGTTTTGTTTTTTTGCTGTATCACCCAATTCCTCCTGTTCTTTCTTGGACTGTTCTCTTATGTAAAGTGTACATTACCACGTTTCTTTTTTATACAATACTGTAACTTGCCTTTGTACATTTAGGCAAAAAAAATAAATCTTTTTATGAGACAATCACATCTGTCCTTGTGTGGCTCTCTCTGTTCTGCTTTACGATCATTTAAAGTAAATAATTTGCATGTTTTTATACATTTTCTTTACTTTTACAATAAAGGTGGATGTTCGTATCCTTCAACCAGAAGATGGTTTTCAGGTAAGTTATCTTAGCTTTCGATAATATGTTCAAACCGCCACAAAAGAGCGTCTTCTGTCCGTCTACTGATCTAATGCGTGAACATTATGGGAAGCGCTCTAGACAGACGGGATTTAAACTGTTGGCTGAAGATTGAGGAAAAACATTTTCATTTTTCCAAATGATAAACTTTCTCTCGATGTTGGTTAAACTTAGCAGTTCAAGGGATAGTTCACTTTAAAATGAACTTTTTGGTATATTTTAGCTTATCTCAAGGGCATCCAAGATGTAGGTGTCTGTTTCCACAGTATTTTCAATTTTGATATTTTTAGGTCAAACCGTTCTTGTCTGTCAGTCATATAATGGAGGTCTATGGTCACCACCTCAAAGAGCATGCACAGAGAAGTCCAGTATAGAAGAACAGTATTTATACCTTTTTCACCTCTTGTAATCACAGTCACGTCCAAGTACTCTGAGGGCGATTTCGAAGACTATTTCACAAGAGATCACTTCCGGCGCTTGTGCAGACCGAAGCACCCGTGCCTTCAGATCAGTTGGAAGTGGCTGTGGTTACAAGAGGTAAAAACGATATAAATACTGTTCGTTTTCTCACACAAACCGCTCGTTTCGTGTCTTAGGCCATCAATGTGTACTTACATTTACGAGTCATTAAATCATGTTTAATTTGGACTTCTCTGTATTTGCTCTGTATTTGGGGTACTCTCATATACTTATATACATATATACATATACCTCATATACTCTCTTTGAGGTGGTGACCATAGACCTCCATTATATGACTGACAGACAAGAACGGTTTGACCTAAAATTATCAAAATTGAAAATACTGCGGAAACAAAGACACCTACATCTTGGATGCCCTTGAGGTAAGATAAAACATACCAAAAATTAATTTCAAAGTGAACTATCCCTTTAATCCAGGAATAACATGCGTGCTGAAAAATCCTTCTCCAGTCAGTAAACGTGTCCCTGTCCCCAAAAATGCCAAATATGTTGGTACTCAAAGCACCTCCTGCACGTTTTCTGCCGCGCATCGTTTATCTTCACCACGCATGCGTCCGGTTATGTTTAGAAGACTCAATAAATTGCTGGAAATATTACAAATCCTTCACCGTTAAAACCCTCGGATGCATGAAATTCCAAATCCCTAACATTTTAATTCACTTGCCTTATTGCTCTAATGCTGTTAGACAGTCATATGACAACAATAACAATATCTGAAAGGGTCATTGTTTTGAATATTTGCACAATAAAGCCCTTTCAGCTTGTGTAAAGTGCTTTGTCTGTGACAAAAGGAGCTTTTTGTGTGCAACGTGATGCAGCAGTGGAGATTATGCGGGATGATTTTGTGGATTGTGAATGTAAAATCTGATTACCGCGGATGGCAGGGGGATGGGAGGGAGGCAGGGAGATGCTGAGGTAATGACTTTTCCTCTGATGTCCTGCAAGGGCATGGAAGTACACCTTTCCTCTTGCTGCTAAGCAACTCTGCATCGGATATCTGGGATTTCATGGGATGCACTATATACGCAGCCAGTTCTGAGGCTCCTTCAACGGAGGGGCCTGAGGCACAGAGACGCCCCCATGCTCACAGCACCAGGACCTGTCGTACCCGGGACCGGTGAGGCTCAGATGCATTATAGCGTGTGGACTGACTGTTGACCCGTGTCTTTTATTAATGCCGAACTTAAAAACCTCAACTGTCAGATATTTATTATCGCCACAATGTGAATGTCCCCAGTTATTCCTGGCTGTTTATGTGTGATTTAGACTATACTTTTACATTTTCACTTTGGATTTTAATATGATTTTTTGACAATATGACTATATAAAATAATTATAAGTAAAATAATAATAGGCTAACAATAATAATAACAAAATTATTTTGAAATGCTTTCTTTATGATAGTAGGCTGTGAAGCGAAGACAACAGATTCGTTTTATAGACGTCTACGGACATTTACTTTGTCAGTCGTTGTCAAAAGTGTCTGGACTGGAAAAAATAATTGATTTCAAACGGTAGTTATTCCGATTCAGCAGCATGTCAGTCAGTGTGTGTGTGTGTGTGTGTGTGTGTGTGTGTGTGTGTGTGTGTGTGCGCGCTGGAATAAATCCAGAGGGAGTTCCAGGAGCTTCTTAATAACACCACGAGTCGCTAATGCTGCTTACGTAGCTCTCATAAGACATCACACTGACTACATAACGATCACATCACACTTAGTTATGACACTTTACATTCATAAACACGGACTGTTGTAACGCCGGTAAGGATGTTTTTGTGTTAACATTACTCACCTCTATGGGACACGTCGAGCGAGGGTTTGGATATTTCCTCAGGTACGTGTCTGTCAACGGATCTTTTTCACACACTGTGATGACGCGTTTTTACGGTCATCAGTATCATAAATCCTGCAACGTTTTGTATATATATTTTAATGTATGTACATTTGATTTATAACACTATTCTATATGTAGTAGCCTTAGCCTATATTGTATCAAATTACAAAACAACTACTGCTGTGAGTGATGGTGAAACAGCGGCTGTGGACGTGATGGTCAAATTGACATCTTTCTCTACTGACTTCCGTTTTCAATCTATCTATTTTTCCCTATTTTGAAAATTGTGAAAACACTATTGTGGCGATTTTCTTTTTCTATTTAAGCAAACTGGAGCTCAAAAAATAATTTAGTTCCCGCTATAAGTTTACCCAACTATGACGACATGCGAAGAAACCCGCGAAAGTAGTGAGACACAGCCTACTACGGTTTAATTCATAAATCTGCATTCAAAAGGTTTAAATTGTTGTTCACTCAGAGAATATACATCACATTTAGTTTTTGTGAAATGTTTTAGTTGGATGTTCATCTAAAGATTTTTGTTACTACTTGTTTCAGAACGTTGAGAAAATTCAAAAGTAGGCTAATGTTCCCATAATGTTTACAAAAAAACAAAAACAAAAATCAAGAAAAATAACATTTTTCATAACAGAATGGGAACGTTAACAAAACGTCCTTTGAATATGTTTTATTAGCTGGGAATACAAATAAATTGCCATATAGGCTGCTGTACTTTAGTAGTGTACAAAGTTGCTACATTGCTTTTTATATCGATTTACTTAGCGGATATTTATTAG